CAGCTTGCCGGAATTCATGACAGTGGTGTTCTCTGGCCCATTGCCAAAAAACTCTACCAGGATTATAGCAGCCCAAAGATCTGGGAACTGGTCCCAGGGGCCATTGAGATTCTCCAATGGTGCCAGCAACAGGGTATCCCCATGGCAGTGATCTCCAACTCTGACCAGAGGTTACAAGAGATATTTTCAGTTTGTCTTAACCTCGGAAGAAGTGGGGTTTGCCAAGCCAGACCAGCGGATTTTTCTGGAAGCCCTCCACAGTGCCAAGGTGGAGCCCCAGCTGGCTGCTCACGTGGGGGACCATTATGTGAATGACTATTTGGCTGCGAGGAAGGCTGGACTGCACAGCTTCCTGTTTAAAATGGCTGGGGAGCCAATTGAGAGCGACATGGAGGTGCCAGCAAACCACCTTCTATCTTCACTTTTAGATCTGCAGGCTCGGATAGAGAAAGGCTAAAAGGAAGTGGCTGGATTTCAGCAGCTGCTTCTAATAGAGGAAATTGCAATTTTAACCAGTTATTAACATTAACTCAAAGTAAGTCCAATAAAATCTATACCCCTACTTATAGGAGTCTGCAGCATTCCTGTCCCAGGTTTCTTGTATTAGAACAGAGTTGGGATTACAGGCTGATACAGAATTTCTTTGGGGAACTGAGGGGGTGCACACACCTAGTGCCACTCAATTGCTGCCAGTAGGAAAAGAAAATGTAACAGGCATAATAGAGTGGAAAAAGTTATTACTTTTGAATATTACAGAATGGTTTACTTATTCCAGGCAAATCTACAGACTAAACATTCAGCTGTGGTTGATTTGTGAAAGATTCCTTGATGTTCTTTCACATGGAATCTGAACGGTGCTTTTGAAAAAGCCCTTTTGGGACAACTATGACATGGATGACTGAGAATGTCTATAGACTCTACATGGAATCTTTCTATCCCAGCTCTTTTCCAAGCAACCCAGCATTATGTGAAGGGAGTCCGCCTTTTTTCTTTTTGGTAAGCAGTCCTATAGCAAGAGTCACATTCTGGCTTATGGATACAAAGTTGAATTCTAATGCCAGATCATTAAAATGTAGGTCCTTCTCTCGCCTCCCCAGAGTTGGTCTCACACCAGATAAATATTTCGATCAGCCACAGCCCGGGGAGGGGGGCATTGGACTCTCGCTGATGAAGCTCACGTTCATCCAGACCCCAAACTCTGCAGGGCATTTCAACAGATTCATGTCAGCTGCTGGTCATTGTGTGAGGACTTTGGGATCACAGTAGGGAAAGATCCAGGAGGAGAGACTAGCCCAAGAGGGCTTCAGGGTCGACCCCCTTAACAAGCAACAGGTCTAGGAAATGCCTAGTTTTGTACGTGCAGATCTTACGTTGACTCCAGGATCCCTGCAGAGGAGGATTCCTCAGCCAGGGCGTTGGGCCAGTGATCGAAGTGAGCAGAGTCCTCTCGGTCTGTCCTCCAGGCCACCTTGGGGCTGAAACTCAACATTCTTTTGTCGATGAAAAGAGCCAAGAAGGAGCCAATCCTTTTCTCAGCAACGTGAATGTCATCTGTATTGCTGGGAGCAGCAAACTGGCCATTGGGAAAATCCCAGGCAGAGTCAGGGAGGTATGGGGATGTTTTACAAAGCCCGGGAGGCTAAATTGCGTGATGAGCTGCTAAGGGAACTGGGTAAGTTTAGCCTAACAGAGAAGGCTTAGAAGAGACACGGTAGCCATCTCCCGATATTTAAAAAGCTGCCACAGAGAGTTTTTGTTTTCCACAGTATCTGGCCAAGAAGCAATGGATGGAAGCTCACCAGAGGGAGATCCAGCCTGGAAATGAAGAAATCTGACAGAACAGTTTGTCAGCAGAGTGGTGGGCCCTCCATTGGTGGAGGTTTTCAAGGAAAGGTTGGACAACTGTTTGTCCAGGAAGGTATGAGATTCTTACCTTGGGCAGAGAATCGGACTAGAAGACCTTCACAGTCCCTTTCAGCCCGAGGGTGTGCAAGGCCAAACCATCAGCCATGAGCCTGATCAAGGCAGTGAGTAACCTGGCAACTCCAACCCGCACAGCTCTTGGGCAACCAGGTAGCTGGGTGTAAATGAACTGTGTATGTTGATCCCAGAGCTGTGCCTGGAGTGGGGAGCGGAGCACCTCACTTGCACGCCTACCCATTAAGTAGCACCCAGTATGGTGGAGAAGGACATCCACTGGGCCCAAAAGTCAATTGAGACACATGCTGAGATTATTTCCGACCAAGTAATTCCATTTGTCCAGTCCAGTCCAGTCTAAAACTGAAAGGATCTGGGGCCAGACTCGAACTGGTTCTCACAGGGTTACAGGTCAGTCCTAGAAGCTGAGTGGATGCAATAGCACAGAGCTCCTGCCACTTGCTGCCCCGCTCACCTGGGAGTACAGCCAAGACCAGCCAAAGTCCAGAGCTATATGGCTGGTTCTTAATTCCTTTGCTTTGTGGGGCTGCGGGACCCCGTCATCTTCCTCAGTTTGCACAACACAAGATTAGAGGTAGCCCTGAGTCTTGAGGGCTCAGCCTGACACCCTCATGGGGCACCTTTTCTGGCTGGGGTTTGTGTGCAACTCCTATTGTCCCCACAAGATGGCAGTGTTAGGGAAGAATGACATTTCCATTTGTGAGGAAGTATTTTTCCCCCCAGTAAGACTGGTCTATCAGGGCAGCCTGGTCACTTTCTTTCGATTTTACCTTTCAGCCCCAATCCAGGAGCCTTTGCAGGAGGCTTTCTCAACAAACACTTCTTGCGTTGAATTTATATTTATCTTTATTTCTTTGTCGGTAGAAATACATTCAATGTTTGTGAGGAAGGTTCCCTGATGGCTGGGGTGGTAGCTAGGACTGGGGACACTTTGGGCTCATTGATTCTCTCAGCCCAGCTGACCTGATCTGCAGGGCACAGCTGAAGGAGGGACATGGGGGGGGGGGCTTTGGCAGGGAGGGGGAAGGAAGAGAAGCACAGACCCCCAGCCTCAAACCACGCCCCTCCATTTGGTATAAACCCCTATCTCCTAACCTCTGCTCTCAGTGGAGTTAGGTATCCTCCCACCTACCACAAGGAGGGTAGTCATCAGCAGCAGTGATTATGGTCACCCGGTAGGTCAGTGACTCCAGTGCATCAGTGTCCATACATACCCAACAAAGTTCAAATGCCAAATGAGGCCCTGCCAATCTTTGCTGGCAGCTGTCCAGTGTGCTCTCCACCTTGAAAAGCCCTGTGGCTGCAGGGCCTTCCATTCCACTTTGCAGAACTTTTGTAGTCACCTGGAATGACGTGCCTTCTGCCCGGTATGAGCTGCTCAAAAGGATTTTATGCACCAAAGGCCACAGGACCTACATTCTTGGTTCTCTCTGACCAGGGGCTACTGACAGGAAATCAGCTCTGCAGCTAGTCCCCATTTTAAAGGAGTAGATGTGGCGTCCTTCCTCTCCCCCCTCCCCCTCTTCTGCCTTTGTATCCACAACAATAATTGGTGATGCAGACATGCCCTCCAGGTCAGAACCTCCACCAGCCATCAGGCTCCTCTTCAAATGCCAGGAGGGGGCTGGGGAGTGAGCTGAGAGGGGGTCGCCCTCCTCCTACTCAGATGCCTCTTCTTTTAGCCACACTTCTTCTACGCTTTGAACGGCTGCAGGTCAATATTGCGTGGAAATAACCACTCCAGAAACAGCCTTTGGAGCTACTCCAGAGTTAGCTACTGGATTAGGTCACAGGGGTCTTTTGAGGGGGAGGGTGTCAGGGTGCCAAGAATCTCAAGACAATATTAACACAACATGCTGTTTCTTTTCTGGAAGGAGTTCTGCCACAACTTCGGCGATGGAAGCCCTTTGCCCTTGAAGGTTTTCACTGTGGCCCACTGGTTCTGAAACAAAGGGAAATGGGGGGGGGGGGGGGCTTGCAAAGCAGATTTGACATCGGCTTCCCCCCAATCAGGCTCGGGGTTCTGGATTGCTCAGAATTACTTCAGAGAGGTGGCGGGGAAGATTGACCGGGTGAGGGGAGAGTCACTCTGCACATGGCCAGAGGACATGCACATTCACAGGAGTTACCTTCCTTTGCAATCAGGTGCCCAACTTTTAAAATCCCCATGAGCTGGGATGCGTGTCTTCCGTTGTATCACTGCCTGCAGCGCCTCTGTTCGGAAGGGTTTGGGGAATGGCTGCGCATCTGGAGCAGACTGGGCTCTTCAAAGCAGCCACGGGTCGTCCTCCCCCACTTCCTCCGCAGCCGCCCCAGCCCTGAGCTGGACACCTGCCGACCGTCGCTGGCTAAGCAGAAGCAGCACAAGCCCCGGCCATGCCGGGCGGCTCTTGCACTCCGGGGCTCGTGAGGCATGCCAGCGTACCTGCTGCTCGGGTGCATTGGCTGCAGGGGAGGCATCCTTCCCTGGCCCACCCTATGGCGTGACCACCTGCCCCCGGAGCCTCCGAGCAGAGGGCCAAGCTACCTCTTTTGTGGGCCCGTTCTCGCTGCCCCCGGCCGATTGTGATTCCCAAAGGATGAAAGTCTGTAGAGATTGTCCTGCAGGTCCTGGTTGTCCCAAAGGGGCTTTTCCTAAGAGGCAGCTGGACTTTCTGGTTTTCTCTTCTGAAGACTTTGTTTCTCATCCCAGAAGCTTCTTCAGCT